AAAATTTCGAATTTTTAAATTGCAGTGAATAGCTCTTTGATTCTCATGTTCTCCTGATACTTTTTCAAAAATTTCGAATTTTTAAATTGCAGTGAGTAGCTCTTTGATCCTCATGTTCTCCTGATACTTGAATGTTATTTTCTGCGTTATAATAAAGAAACAAAAATCAATTTCGTAACGCAGAAAATAACACTCATCCCGTCGACTGGTCCCTCTGACAGCGGGACTGCTACTGAGGCAGTTACTGAGTCGGCTGGCGTGCAGAAAGCCCAGCATGGCGTCTGGCGCCCTCTCTCTCTTGGGGTGAGGTACTACGATGGAGATGGGGTCACTCAAACCCCCGGAACTGAGCCTCTACTTTAGCCAATCCTCTGTGGGGGGAATGAAGGTCTCCTGCCACGGAGGAGATCAACGTTGTTTGGTCTAGATGGCGCCACTTAGTGGGGCGAGGTTAAGGTGCATTTACATTGTTCATCGTGAGTGTTTGTTTGCAACAAATTCAATTCAGCGTATGCGGTGGAAAGTTTGAATTTAAACACTAGTGCGGAAGGCGTGCGCTATTGGCAATGATGTCAACGGACTCAAAGTGGCAATGATTTTTTTAATAAGGATAAGAATCAGGTGAAGAAGGATAAATAATTGATCAAGAATTTTTTCTGAGTACATTATTTCCATTATTTTGGTATTACAATGGTTATATATGATAAAAACAAACATTTCCTTGAGAATCATTAGAAGGTTATATACTGTGCACGAAGATGACTGGTGGTGGCTACTTGGTGTTCCTCCAAAAAGTCCGTTATGGTTTTTACAGCTGCAAATTGGCAAAAATTCGAGGGTTTTAGTTAATGTACATTAAATTATATTAGAGATCAGTGGAAATGGTTGACAATTGGTTTCACCTTGCTTATCGTGTGAACTCATGAACAACTTGATGATGGAGAAACGTTTTAAGTCGGTCAGGGCTTTGAGAAATTTATCAACAAACTCCAAGTTCTCTTCTTGACAAAAATGGCGCTCCAAACAACGAAGGATTGTGCTAAACATTTCTCCGTCTAGCCTCGATCCAATTAATGACTCTAAATTTTCGGAGCCGATGGCCTTGAGTAGCTCAGCACGAAGTTTCAAATCAGAATCATTTTTTAGAGACTCCCAGGTGCACAGAAATTCGTACGGAGTATCAACATTGAATCTGAAATTGTCAGGAGTCCTGCTGCTATCTTCTTCCATTTTTTTTTCTCCGTTTTTCGTAATTTTCTTTGTGATTTGTCCGCATGGTTCACTAGGGATTTCCTCAATGACCACTCCAGAGGGCTGAGGGTAATTGGAACAAGAGGTTGAGAACGTGAAAATTGACTGGTGCTTATTAATTTCATTTCTGGCAACAGGAACACAATATTCCCCTCGTCTATGAGGCAGAGGTTTTGGATATGTTGAAGATCCTGGTGCTCTGTCACAGAAGCAAACCTCGTTGCTCTTCTTCATGGGTCTGGACTCCTCCGGGAATTTAACTCCTTTTCCTTCACACTTGGAAATTTTCGATTCCACAAATTTCTCTTCAGGGCTTGTTTCAACTTCTTCAATTATTCGTTCTGAAGAGGCAGATGCAGTTGATGGTTCGGTGTCTTCAACTTTTTTCTCATCAATCCCCTCTTCATTTTCATTGAACTCTTCAATGGTCATCCTGACCTTCTTGCGGCCTTCATAAACTGACAACTTCCTGACGCCCATCATCGCAGTCCTGTTATTCGGTTCTATTTTCAATGCAGCTGAAAATTCCCTCAGAGCCTCTTCTTTCCTCCCTAGACTCTCCAAAGCGGAAGCTCGACGGAGAAGAGCCTTGACATTAGTGCAGTCGAGACTGAGGACTCTGTCGCAGTCGTCAATCGCCTCCTGGTATTTTCTCAGTTTAATATACGTGATAGCGCGATTATTGTACCCATTTATTGTCGCGTTAATCTCGAGACTTAGGCTGTACTGCTGAAGGGCTTCTTCGTAGTCCCCAACCCTGAACGCCTCGTTGCCCTTTTCCTTTTCCTTTTCGGCCAAAACCGTGATCTCAGTTCCTGTCAACGCCAGCTTATTTATCGCTTCCTTTTCCGCCAACTTTTTCTCCCTCATCTTCCTCTGGACTTGCTTCGCCCTCACCACCTCCTGCTCTGACCTCAGGTCAATCCTGTTGACCTCAGTGTCTACGTCATACTTGTCCCAGGCGGAGTAGTCACAGGATTTTATCCTCTGGGAGTTTTTACTCTGCTCTCCAGACCTCGATTTCTTCGATCTGTCAGTAATTTTTCGGATTTCCGGTTGAGGAATTGTGTCAGTCAAATCCAGAGCTTTTCCGTCCTCCAGATCTTTCTCTCGGAGATGCATCTGTCGCATCCACTGGCTCATGGCTTTCTCCAACGACTCCCGTTGCTCCTTATCAAGCATTTGTGGAGTTAAAATTGGCTGAGCAACTCGCAACACTTGACTCTCTGGTTTCAAACTCCGAAGACGATCCTCCGCGTGCTTGAGGAGCTCTGGGAAGAAGCCCTCCTCCCCAGAGCTGTTGGAGACGACAGGAAGCGGTTGAAAACGTTTTCTACATTTTTTTTTTTTTTGAATCAGTGGAGGTGAAACTTACCGGAGAATCAAGATCATCCTCTCGATTTCTCGTACATTTCGGGATTCTGTTATGTACTCGAAGGATAGCTTCTCGAGGGAAATATCATATTTTTCAACTAGTGATTGTTTTTTTTCTGGCTTTACCTTTGTCACCAGCTCCACTTTTTCGTTACCCATTTCCAGAGAATTGAAAGTAACTCAGAACGTTGTTTATGGAAATCTGCGGTTACCATGGATACAACGATCTACTTTTGAATATTCCCGGGTGTTACAGAGCTCTTTAAATTTATTTCCCGCTGATAAAGTAGAAATTTCAAAGTCTTCAGGTGGCAGGGATCTTCTTTAACGCGTCAATAAAAAAAAAAGAGGGGGAACAAACAAATCCATATAAAGAAACATCAATTCTCCCTCGATCTCCTATAAAAATTGAATAAAATTTCCTTTAATTTCCTTTTATGAAAAAATAAAAAATAAATAAAAACGATAAATCTTTGATGAAAATGACAATTAGAGGGAAATAGAGATGAAATTGATTATAAGAGTCGATTGAAATTCCAAGGCTTAATTAAACGGTTCATACAGGAAATGTTGACTATTAGAATAAATGAAGTGAATAATTAAAAAAATTGTTGACGGCTATATTCTCGTTACTAATGTTCAAACGTGAAAATGATAATCTCCATTAGGACATTCCTCCCCTTATCGCAATAATAATGTTATCCAATTACCCCTTAAACTGCCCTTGCGAAAAAAAATGTTAAAAGAGGAGAGTTGGTAGGAATGCAGGGTGCACTCAACCTCACAGTGAGTAAGTGACTCGGTGTAACATTGGTACATGCTAAATCTCGATCGGAGTTTTAATGCTCAAGCGTGTATGGCCGGTAGTTGCATATTAGACGGTGCGCCAGGTCGGCTCCGATCATTCGCCGGCGAGAGCTCGGCCGGAGTGTTTCACCGAGAGATATTATCCCTCCATCGGCACCGATATCACCACGCGGTCCCTAAAGTCGTGAACACAATAATTGAATAGTCCGATAAATATTCAATATTATACGATAAATCTGTCAGACAGCATAAATACCTGTGAATAAATTCATCAATGTGATTTTTCTATTTTTCATGCAATCAATTAGCAGTTGAATATTCAGTTGATTATTTGGTTGAATAATAATACTGATTGTTGGAATGAGTGACATTTCGGTGAAAATCAGTGGATCGAGGAATTGAATTGAGAGTGTGGAATTATTCCCATTGGATATTAATTTCTTTGTGAGGTAAAGAGATGTATATCTTTTTATTTTGATAAGAAGTTGAAGCGAAAGCGACCGGATAAACCTTATGCACTCTGGTATTTTCGCCTTCTTCACCACCGGCTCTTTATTTTTTATTCTCTCTACATCGTGAAGTATTCGAGACAGAGTCTCCCGATAACGCGAAAGCTCACTCGAGCGTAAAATTAACATTGCGACATGTGTCAATGTGCTCTTGATTCAGCCCCGTTGTCCAGAGAATGATAGAACGTTTGTTAACCACGACCTTATACAAGTTGATTATCACTTTCATTCTCAACCGAGGAAGAAAATCACGGTTTGTCTGTGCCACTGACCATTTGAATATTGACATTGACATTGCGTCACACGCCTCAATTATCCATTTTTAATATCCCAATTTTGTTTAATTACACACGTCCCCGGAATGTTGTGTTATGATACAGTCGGATACGCGCAAGTTTATAAATAATTCTCTTTATCAGGAAAATATCTGGATAAAGCAAGTGATAAAGCCGAACGTTGCGGAAGACAGCGCGAGTTTAAAGAATTATTCGATAAATGCGGAATGCAGATTGAATTGATGTAGAAATTGCCTGAAAAAAAAAAATTACGATAAATCCGTTAATTTGTTTTTTTTTTTTCATTTTGCATTATGTTCCAGTGAAAAATTGAATTGTAAAGGTGTGGAGAAAAATTGGATCCGCGAGGTTGAGGGTCAAGGTTTCCCATGCGGTTTTCCCATGAGGTTTTGGACCGAGGAGATCACGTACCGTCACTCTTTGAGAATCAGAGAAAGTGAAGAGGCCCGGTTTTGTATATAGACAGTAAGAGGAACAGTAGAAGGAGTCGTGGCGCCTCTCTGGTATCCCAACAAGTGAGAGAGGTGCCCATCTACCCTGGGCACCAGCGAACGTGACGTACAACCGATCCATTACGAGGAATTCCGCGCCTGGGCAATACCCAGTTGGATATTACAAGAGGCCTTTTTCATCTTCACACTTGACTCTGTGAAAACGACTTGTGGCTAGTCGTTTATTCCCTCACGCTTTGTGATTCCTCACTTTTTGTTGGTCTGAGGTGTACTCACAGGGGATGAGTACATCTGGTTGGTTGGATTGACCACAGGGATCATCAGGACAACGTTGATTGCCTCCAACTGTTGCCATTACCTCGCCGAAACAATAAAACAAGTTAAAAAACAAAATTAATAATAAAAACGAGAGAGGAAAGGAGAAAAAAAGAGTTGAGATAAGTGAGAGAGCCGATGGATCTGACAAAAATCACGAAATAAATGATCATAATTAAATGAATGGAGGAAAATTACACGAAAAATAAAAGAATCTCCTGGCGATAAATCCGAGGATATTGACGGGGAATTTGTTGGATTCCTCGCTGAGAGAGATAAGGAATTGAATAATAAAAAAATTGACGGGGGAACTCGAGGGAATGCGGTTGGGGGATGGATGAGGAAGTTGTAATTTAGCCTCGACGACGCGCATCACACGCGGCATTTCCTCCCACCTTTTTTTTTTTACCTCCCTCTGCCCTCATCCCCCTCATCACCCCCCCATCCCCTCCTGGTGCAAGATAATTACAAAGCGGTTTTAGTGAACTCTGTGACTCAATCGGCTTGTGAATGTGGTGATTTTCAAAGTGAAGGTGAAAAGTGTTTTGTCGTGAATTTATTGACAATGTGCTACGAAGTGGGGGAATGACACCAGAATCATCGCCGAAGAGATGACGAATGTTAACAGGATTCGGGTGGTCGTCCTCGGAGGCCCGCGAGTTGGAAAATCTGGTGAGTTATTTATAGCATTTGTCAGTTAATTATTCGGTTAGAGTAGAATAATTGGGGGGACGAGGGGATCCCGGGGAATAATGGATGGGGAATTTAATTGTCATTTTGAATAACAACGAGCAAGGTGCAATTGAATTCAACCATATGGGGGCACGTATATCGTGTGTCGACATCAACTTTGATTTAGCTAGTGTTGGAAGGTTGTTTGCACGCTCATGTAAACTCCTCCTTCCTCTGCTCCCTCCTTGAGACTCCGATACTCGATAACGTCGTAAGGGTCCTTATTACGGGATATTCGAGGACACGAGATCCAGGAAACTTTTACGGATTCCAGGATGTACATTGAGATGGTTGTGGAGTAAAGGGAAGCCGCGTGAGAATGAATTACCAATGCTACCGTTGATAGGATTTTATTCTACTTGATTATTTACCTCAGATCCGCACTCCCTTTTCATGTCATTCTTGGGATTTAGAGGGAGCAAATTTTGAGATGAAATTCTTCTCTGAATTCATCTCTCGTTAATAATCCTCAAATTTCTGCGAAATGCAATCTCCCAGATGTTGGTGTTAAGAATGGCTTTTCCCAGAAATCCATCTAGTTTTCCACAAAATCATCACCCGGAGTAACTCAATCCTCTCATGAATTTATGATGGGTCACATCGCAGCATGATACCGAGATCAGACAGTTGGTTGTTGCACTTCAATTCCGCCAATGAAACATTCAACTGAGACAAATGGACTGCCTCCCATCCCAAGTCCTATATTTAAACTCTCACTTAAAGGTCATAACACAGCAATTATGTTAACGAATATAGTTGAATCGTCAGGCGTGCATTTGAATTCCAAGTGTTTTGTCACAGAAAGTCGTTTATCGTGTTATATTTTTTTATATTTCATTTTTTTTTTGTGTAAACGAAACGACAATCGGGCAATTATGTAAGCTGCTCGATGGAGCTCTCTCGTATATCGATCGACAGGAAGAGAACGATCACCGTGGCCTCGCGTTTTTTTCCTCCATTCGTTTCATCCTTCCTTCTTTTTACACGGTCTATATATATTTACCATTTGCCTTGGGTTGCATACCATCACGAGGATCGTCCTGGAGGTTAATCAACTCAACCTGGGTGAAAAGCATCGCTTTCATTCTCGTGCCAATTTTTTCCAACTAATTAAAGCATTCTAGAAAGGTTTAGCGAACATAATCCCGACTTGCGCAATAGCTTTTTTTTTATAACTGGAATTAGCTGGAATCGGGATATAATTGATTTAAATTAATCCAAGTCTCTCGATACATCTTACTCCAATCAATTTCCGGTTTAAAACGATCTCTTCAACTCCAATAAAATTCTCAGGCAGCATTAGGAGATGTAAATTTTTCCACTTGACCAAAAGAGGACTATCTTCATCTCACCTTTCCATAATAAAGATGAAAAATAAACAGCTGCATATAGCGATTGATCAGGGGCTGTTACTTTTCCCGATTTCCCACCAGTCCAACAGATAATAATCCTTCATTTTCAATTCAGGAGGTATCGTAGCCAATTAATCGTGCCAGTTGGGTTCAATCGGTGAAATTAATCAAGGAAGTGTCGGTGGCAATTAGCATACGGACGACTAATTGAGATCTGAAATCAATAAATATAACTGGATTAAAAAATATCCCATGGAAAAATTCCAGTGGCTGTTAATTTATCAGTGAGGAATTGTTGGTGATTCATTGATTGGATTAGTCGGTGGGTAATGAACAGTGGTCCAATTAAATAGATGATTATCCAACAATGAGTAGATAAAATTGATTGGAGAAATTTGTGGAAAGTTTTATTTTCGTTGTTAATCTGGAATGTAGTCTCATCGTATTGTTTAAAGACGTTGGGACTGTTCGAGTTGGAGTTGAAAATAATCAGAGAGAATTGAAAGAGCTGGTTAATTAGCAGCATCAGAAGCTCACAAAAGTTTGTGGTTAAACGAGCCCACCCAGGTGAGATTTCACGATGAGAAAAACCGGGTGTGTCGCTGGAGCGATATCACGAGGTATTTTCATCTGGTATTTCAATCCACAACCAAATCAAAGAGTGGTAATAGCTACCACCCATTGCCACATCCAACAAGTACAATAAGAGTACAATGAGGCCGTTATTGTCTGGATACGATTCTCCTGGTAGCACCGAGGAGATGAGTGTTGATACTGACTAGGTGACGAAACATTCACTCCGAGGGATCGTTTTCTCGGTGTGGTCTCCACCACTCGATGTCGATTAATTGAACGAAATGGAAAGAGAGGAGAGAGAGAAAAAAAAATCCAAGGATTTAACACTGGAGGAGCTTTTTAATCTTTCATTCCCCCTCGTTCGATCTCGATTGTCCTGATTGTGTTACACAATGACAGCCAATTTACATCCACGTCAATTTGTTTTTCATGCTGAGTTATTTTTGTGTTGTAAAGAGACGCCATTCGATGGGCCCTAATGAATTTTTCCATGGTGAGGGATGAGATGAATTATCTATTCCATTAATATCCATTTAAAAATAGAGAAAAATTGAAGAAAATGGGGTATTGCAGTTGAATGATTGATGGTTGAATTGTTATTTTGACGTGTCCATTGAAATAAATCAAAGGTACTGTTGTAAAAATGGTTCAGAGAAATCATCTCAGAAGTTGATGCAAATGGAAAAATAAGTTGCGATGTTAACAAATGTGCAATCGGTGGAGGAAAAGGCGAGCTCTCATCTACTCGGGAAATATCAATGAAAAACATCACAAAGTGACGTACAACCATTCCATAAGGTATACCTCGATCGTTCTCCTTCTCGAAGCGCGTGCCAGTTAATAAATATTCGCTCCGAGTCTGTGTTGATGCACTTGCGGCAAAACTCGTTTTACCAAGGCACTACTACGAGGGTTTACATACCGTAAGAGAGAGAAGGAGAGTGAAAATCTCACGTCTGCCACAACATGAAGAGCCATAACACAAAGGTGACCGACTATTTATTTAAAAACCAACAAATTTTCGTATTATCCCGCCGGGGGTACGAGGTGGGGAATAAACTCGACACTCATCGCTGAATCGAGACAATAAATTCGGTAAATTCACTGGTTTGAGGAAGTCGAGATGGAAGAGGTGAAGTTTACAAGAGCCAGAGCGAGTTGAATGTCTCTGCGACCTCAGTTCACCAACTTGAGGAATTATTGGCAAGTTAAGGAGTTGGAGCACTGAGGAGGGGTTGGAATCGTTGGGTACATAAATTTGTATCTCCATTGGATTTAACAGGAGACACGAGTGCACGATGGGACCACGTGGAGCTACAGCAACTCCAGTCGAGTCGTGAAGTCACTCGTTTTTTTTTTTGGCTTCTTTTCCGATTTTTCATCGGGAATATTGTGTCCCCTTCCACGGGAGTTTTCCTCCCCGGGTGAAAGGAGAGTCAACATCCTGATGTTATTCTTGTCCGGGGGTATCCATTGACGTGAGAGGAGGATGCTGGGATGTAATTGAAAGTTGCGACGAAATATGCCGCTGGGTAAATGGGTTTTTTTGCCACGGGACACCGTCGTCTTGACGTGGGGGATGTGGATCGGCTTTCAGGGGGGCCAGGTATATGCCCTGGGGAATTTTCAGGACTGCAAATTGCAGAGTGAATTTTTTTTAAACGAATTTGTCAGAATTTTTTCCATTAGAAATCTGAAATTTTTGTTTCAACCCCTGGGATCAGGGTAAAAATGTAATTTTTCCATTGGCACATTTTCCCATCGCAATATCAATGCAATAAATTTCTCTGGCTTTCTACCATTTTCATCCCCTCCATCTAATTCATAAAAAAACGTCAATTAGTTCATACGGTGAAGAATTTAATTCACGCGGTTGTGCGATCCCAATGAAATCCGTAGCAATTGCCATATAATATCCAGGTGAATTCGCGGAATGCTTTGCGGATGAAAAAAAAAACTGAAAAGGATGAAGAAAATAAATAAATTGAGCTTGATTTCTCGTGGTCACGCGTAACGAGGTGGCAAAACGAATGACGCATGAAAATGTATATCAGAGTGCTAACTTTCTAACGAGGCCTCCGGCGAATGGTATGTCAAATTTATCGATGGCAATTAGCGACATGGGCGGGGGAGAGGGATCAACTAATTACTCCCCTTGTGCCATACGTATTCTTCATGTATTTGTGTCACTCGGTTTATGCATGACGGGTAAGAAAGAATCTCGTGATTATAATCCACTATTTATCGCGCGTTAAACCGTCGGCCAATTTATTTTTACGTCGATAAATCATTGAAAAATTATAAACAATTCTTTAAACAGTACAAAAGAAAACAGAAAAAAAATTCTCCTCCCCAAATATCCATTGACTCAATAAATAATTCAATTTAATTCACTTTAATTACTGAAAATTCATTAATAAAAAATTAATAAATGTTGTTTATTTTTGTATTTTCAGCTGTTGTCGTGCGATATTTAACAAGGCGATACATCGGTGAATACAGTTCAACGAGTGGTGAGTAAAGAAAATTTTTTTCCTCATCTAATCAACAGCGTGCATGATTCTTAGTACAATTGTCGCGCGGTAAATTTCCTCGGTAAAAAATATTGCGATTGAAAAAAGAAAAATTCCTGCCGAATAGGGGCGGCAGTTGCCCTCGACTAAGGGCTCAGCTCGATGGAAAATAAGAAAAATAATGAGAGGCTCGCCCCTGACACTCGCCAGCACAAGTTGCCGGTCTAGTTTTTTGCCCCGCGGCCGTACACGAGATCCGTTGATTGCTTTATTGCCAAGCGTGTCTCTTTCATCCTATGTACCCCCCTCTCCCCTCTCTTCCCACTTTAGTATCATTTATTTTCCCCAAGTTGCGATGCTCAGTGATTTAACCATTAGACTCATCGTAAACTCCCCACAAATATTTCGATTCATCCAAAAATTACGTGAGATATTCTCCCATTCTTTAAACTCACTCTCCGGCTCGTAAAAAGGGAGAATTTAATTCTCGGAGCACTCACGTACTCGGTAGTTTACCTTACATGAAACGTTTTATCTAGTTCCCCTACTGCCTTCCAGGAGTTCCAGTTTATCGTCTACCCATATCGAGAATATAAAAGCCCGGGGGAAAAAAAATTCCCTCGCGACATTTAAATGGATTTAATTTCAATCCTTAAAGGAGACAATCCGCAAACTATTAAATTGAATGGTAAAGAAAAAATGGAAAAATGGCGAAAATTTTGGCGAAAAATTGGCGGTACTCAAGCGTAATTTATACATTAACCTGGCTTCGACAAAGCCAATAATATTGAATAAAAAGTATTGGGACGCGATAAAATCGACAGGTTGGCCGAGCGGAAGTGACGGTGGGTCCCCCGCAGGTTCCCTAGTGCCAAGAATATACGAGTTGTTATAAATATATTCGCCTGGAAGCCAGAGGAGCCCTCTCACACAGGGCGGAGATTTAAAGACTCGATATGAAATAGAGCCTGGAGGTGGGCCCCTCTTCTTTCTTTCTCACTTTTATCTTTTTCCCCGCTTTGCCCCCTCCATTTTCTCGTGCCCCGCAGAATGCAGATCTCTCTCATAACTCATGCCCCAGCTACCTCGCTCGTAATAATTGCTACAAGCCCATGGATATATAGAGACGAGCTCAAGGGATTTGAGGACATCGATATCACTCTAAATACCTTTTCAGCAGTATTGTCATGGCTTTAATGAATCAATCATGTCGATTATTCCGTTGGACTTATTCCGATGCGTTAATTACACACCCATATTTTTTATTGAGACGAATTAATTCCTCAGGTGGCCCTCATAAACTCAATTAACCGCCCGTTTCTGTCACATACCCGCGTACAACATCCAATCATCCCCGAAAATAACAAATGCTAAGTGGCCGAGTAATTTTGGGACTTATGCCCCTCTCATTGGCTAAACGCGTGAGACTTGAGCTCAAAATTAAAGGGAATCACGCGAGAGGTCGCACCAGAGGCTCACAATAACGTCACGCGAACATGCGTGTAAAGCAGAACATTAAGGTTTTTTTTTTTATTAATTATTATGATTATTTGTATTTTTTCAAGGGTAGAATTTTTGGGGTTTTTTACTACCGTCTGTCACTGGAAATTGACGATCAAATTAATTGGAGAATTCTTTGGATGATTGTTTTTTTTTATCGTTTGGCGGACTGGTGATGGATTTTCGCGCTCTCTGGTTTACGATTTTTTTAAATCTTTCTTTTGGGCGTTTTATCGCTTGACGTGCACAATGTGAGAAGGGAGGGCCCTCAAACGGTGAAAGCTAGACGCCGATTATTACGCGTTGGGAGTGTGAGGTACCGAGAGGCGCCTCTCGAAAAAAAAAAAAAAACACTAGAAAGCGAGACTTTATGGTGTGTCGTTACAATTACATAAATGTTTCGGATGAAGGAGAATTATTGGGGAAGTTTGACGGGCAAATTGACGGGTGTAATCCAGTGAAATGCTATTAGTTGAGGAGTGATTGAGATTGTCTTTGATACCTCGGACGATTAAGTTTATGGGAATTTTGACGTGAAAATTGCTTCCTGAATATTGATTCATTGGTTTTTTTTATATGTTTGCTACCGAATGGAAGCTTTGTATTGGGCCATATTCAGGTGCCCAATTTTTTGTGTGAGGTAACTAAGTGTAGCCTAAAAACTCCGAATATGCGGTTTTCAGATGGTGTCTATATGCATGCATGCATGTATGTATTTTTTTTCTTTTTTCCCTCTCTTTTTTTTCACCAGGAATTGATGGAATATCATGATTTTTTTTTTTTTCAATTAATATAGACTTTTAAAAGCTCTACCTATTCACGCTGATTAGTTTTGAAATTTCTATGATAATTCATAAAAATCCGTAATTTTTCACTGAATTTTTTTCCATTCGTAAACTTGTTGCTAATTTTATTACGCACTTCATATAATCGGGAAAATTTTCAAAGTAAAATAACTGAAGTACACATGAAAATCGATTTGAGCCGATAAACTGCCTCGTGAGCGCGACGTAGGTCGTGAAAGTAAACTGTTCAATTTAGCGATCGAATAAAAAGAAACGTAAAAGAATGGATTAGCGAGGAAAAAAAACAACAAATCGTTTGACTTTCAGAAGTAACATCACGATGATTCTACCCTGAGAGAGTGATTACCAATGCCTCACGGCGTCTGACTTGAATCAACTCGTTTTCATCTCCGTGTTTACATGGTTGGTACATGGCCAACCATAATGTACCATGATTATTTCTCTATTCCGATTAACAATGCAAATTTTCTTTCGTTGTATCATTATTAGAAAGCACCCGGGTAGATTATCAGATTTTCATTTTGGAATATAATTAGATTGTTAATCGAAGAAAGGAAAACCAGTAATTACCCCAATCCTTCAACAATTACTTGACAATGGGAGAATGTACACAGATTACTGTAGCTATTTGTCAATTACAAGTCATTCATTTTACAAATAGATGAGATTTTTTATTGCAAGGGACAAGTGATTGGGGATGGTTTGAAAAAAATGGGGTCTCTTTGTTACTCCGAATTTCTCGTAGTTGTTATTTCAATGGATAAATTCGAGAATCAAGAAATGAAGGAATGTATAAGTCTGAAGAATGCGGAAGTGAATTATTGGCAAAACATTGAAAATGAGGTGTTGCGGAAGGCATTGTCCAGTAGTGAGAATAATTGTGGGATAAATGAGTGTAAAGTGTGATGATGGGATCGTATAATTAAATGGCAGTAGTGAAAAAAAAAATTTTAATCATGATTTTTATCATGACAGCGCGCTGTAGCGGGCATTCGCTCTCGCGAAATAAATAAGTCAAAGACGTAGTTATTAGTGCGTTACGGTTGGCAAAGTTTTACTGGTCAAGCAGACTCGTTTGGTGAAGTTTAAAATAGAAGGAGTAAGGGGTAGGGGGGCAACTCCATGAGTTTTGTATCCCAAGAGCCACCACAGACGTAAGGGAAATTTATAGCAGCACTTTAACCGTAGCTGAGGGAACAGGCGAGAATGAATCTTTAACTGGCGAGTGAACTCTGACCCAGAAAACAGCCAAACTTTTATGTTTGGTCCCGGGTGTAGCAGCATTGAAATGAAAAAAAAAATATATAAAAAATATGACGAATGGAGATTTAGAAAAAGACAGAAGGCCAAAGTCTCAGATGCACTCGCGGATAATTTCAATGATTTTTTAAGTATTTTATGGGAGATTTTAAAACCGAGGGAATTTGATTTTTCTTGAGGTTTTACTATCGCAAATTGTTCGGATAAATCTCCACTCATCAGGGGAAAGTCCCTCGGTCATTGTCGGATAATGACAGAGCGGTGTACTCATATGTGTCGGTAATATGCTCCCCAACATTTTCATACCTCATTTCGATTATGTTTGAAAATAATATTGAGGAATTGTCGTACCAATATAAACTCGAGTTTCTCATATGTGCTTTCACACGATATCACTATCGACAGTGTTAACTCTACCGTGTCCAATTTACATGTTTCACGGTCAATTTTCGTCTTTCACTGGAAGGTCATGATGATAGTTCCCTCGACCACTAAAACCCGGTTAAATTTCTTTTTTCATTCACAATAAATCCAAATGATCGCTCTCCATAATCCATTACTTTCGTTATTTATCCAACAATTTGACCTTTCTGTTTCAGATTTCCTCTATCGTCACAGCGTTACCATTGACAACGTCACAACAGAGGTGGAGATACTGGATACCTCCAGGTGCGAGGTGAGTCCCTCCAATTCATTCACACCGTCAATTTTATTTACTTCACAACTACCATTACTCCTCTCTCCTTTTTTTCACAACTAGCACCACAAAATGGTGTATTTTTTTTTTGAAAAAAAAAGGTGAGTGGGCATGTATGAGTTACGTTGCATTGCCAAGGGTCGAGTATTCGTCATAGACTCGAGTCAAAATAATGAGCGGACAGGCTGTATCGTAACGCACGCTGTTTTCTCGTTATCCAGTCATCACTTTAACGTCCTCACGCCAATTTCACGAGATTTCTTTCATTATGCGCACCTGCCCTCGTACGTCAGAGATCAGAGATCACCAGGTAATTAATCATTATCCCCACAAAGAGTGATCCAACAATAAAATTTGCACAACACGTGATTTTTTGCTAATACCTTCTGTTGAGTGGCTGTCAATGGACATTCTCTCTGGGCATGTGCTATTTATCGCGCAAATTAGAAACAACTGGTCAACAGTTGGTTGGCTATATTTAATATATATATATATACGTTGATAAATAAGTGTTTTAATATCTCCCCCACGTGGACAAGGAGCACGCGCTTCCCCCGCTATCTCGGTCGTTGGGTGACTCTCGGTGATAGCGGCAAAACAGCATCCGAACGTTTACCTCCGTCGTTTTCCTCTCGCGGCTCGTACACAGATGCATTATACCGAGAATCGGTTGGTAGGAAAATAAAAAGGACCATGCCACGTGAAGGTGGATAAGAGGTACATCTCTTGGCCATTCTATCCCTCTCTATCCCCTCTGAGTGCCGCGTACGTGCCATCAACACCTTTTTATTGCCGCCTCGTCGGCTGTAAAGATCATTTTTTTTTTTTTTCATCCTCTCGTACATTCGCCCGCACATCTCCCGATGATTGAACATGAAAAATGTCTCTCAGGCGATGGTAATTCCCATCGGATTGAGATGAGGAAGACCGAGTCATTTTTTAAACTCGATCTCTCGGGGATGAGGCATATTTTATAGATCTTCAGTCTGCACGGAGATAAAAATCGTAATATAAAAAGAAATCATTTCCTCCCACCATTACGTTTTGGACTAGAATTTTTCCGGTATTAATCACGTAATTTTTCCAGTGATTATCTCTCCGTATGTGTAAATTCTCGTATCAATATCGTGCATCGGGATCGTTATACATTTCTTTTGGCAAAATTTCTGAATGAAAATTACAAAGGGGGAAATAATGCCAGTAGTCTGTGCGTGAAAACCTCCCCCATGTCTGGCTCTTCAAGTAGTGGGTTATGATGCGCAGAGGAGGCGTGGTGCAACTCCTATGTAAATGATGGCCAGGAGAATCAAACTACCGTTTCAACCTGTCAATCAATTCACCAGAGCATTGAGGCTCTTTATGTCGTTCCAAGGTGGACGGGGCGGTACCGAGAATCGCTGGAGCTACCCCAAATTAACTCCACCGCAAAAATAAAAAATAATCCCAATAACAAAAAATAGCCAAGTGGCCATTTTTATGCCGCGATAATCAATACACATCTCCCTCGATATTCCAAGTTATTTAAAAATTCTCGAGTGATGAAAAAAAAAAAAATGTACTTTCTAAAAATACTCTTTCAATTTTTCACCTTAATTTTTTGCCCCCACCGATTTATCATATTCCTGTTGCTATCGCCTGTGGCACGTCAAGTGGCTTTATTATACGAGTTACGTCCCATCGATATTCGGGTGGTTGGATGCTGTGGAAGACAGGTGCAAACATTTGGAACGCGACGAGACACCAAAGAAAACGAGGGAAAAAGAGGGAAGAGGGAAGTGAGAGAGAGGGTAAAAAAAAAAATTAAAAAAAAACGACGCGAGATGAAACGAAATGAAAAAGAGGAGGTGAAAAAAAGGGGGCGAGGAGGACAGGCGGAAGAGGACGGAGGCGTCTCGACGACGCCGTCACTGCCCAGGAGGGTGGAGGTGGGGTTAAAAACCAGTTTGCTAAAAACAACCCGGCAATACGGAGGAAAGTTAGCGCGGGCTACCGAATTCACTGGGTGCACGAATACATTCACGATTTGCGCATCACCCGTGTAAGACAGGTATATTATTAATTTCACGAGATTCTTTTTTCGTAACCTTGGGTTATTTATCTCCCCGGTTACAATTCCAACGATGCGAATTTAATAAAAACAAGACCGCGAACCTTGCGAAGAATTTCACCCCAAGGAATTCCTCACTCTCTCAACATGCACTGATGGAAGAATTCGGCTAATGTGATATTCATTAATAATTCTTTAACCATTAATTGAGAAGCTGATTTCTTGCTCATGATTAATTGTCATTTGAAATAATTGAGAAATTTAATTATTTAAAAATGATTTAAATGAATGATGAATTTAATTTCGTTGGAGATTTTTTTTTCACATTTGAAGACTTTTCTTTGATTTATTGATGTAAGGCGATCAGATTGAAATCCATTAGTGAATTCTTCCTTGAGGTGCGGATAATTACCATTGACAAACTTCTCGGCATCGAGGTGATCGCGGTGAAACAATTACATAACAGAATTACTGGCCCATGAATAAATAAATGTTTTGATGGTAATTTATGGTGACAGGTGGTTAAAGGTTCGGTAAACGAGCGATTCAGGGGTATACCTTTGAACCAAGGTGAATGCTAATGACGAGTCCCGTTCTAATGTCTCGAGAATTGTGGCTCGTCTCGTTTAGGTCTTGTTTATCCACCAGGATAATCCCTCGGTGGAGTCCAACCTCGTTATGCCCACACTCGGTCAAACAAGTGATCGGTGGAACGATGGGGGTGAGGAGGGGCCATTATATATGCCAAATCCAAGTAGACCTGACGATGAGTGAGCGAGAAGATGGTGCCTGCACGTATCGGAGGATATTGAAGAGGGGAGGGCAACCATTAAGCCCGAGGAGGCTGTCAATTAAAGTGATTTTACGGACCCGCCGTTGGAAAAATTGCTCCTCCATCAAATGCGCGATACAGTCGCCAAACTCCTCCGAGTTGGTTCATCCGGTTTATATTCCCCTCTTTTGAAAGGGTAAGGGATTTCACATTTGTTTCAATTTCCATCAGTTAATTTTTTTTTCTTCATTTTTTTAATAGGACAAATGCATAAAAATAATGAGACCTCTTGCTCACATTTTTCATTTTTCCCACCTTCCCCTGTCATGATTAATTTTCAGTTCTAATTATCCATGAATTATCCAGTGGTGAATTATCCACAGATCTGCTATTTCTCCTATTTCTCCGTTAAGAGAACAATAAAATATTTTTCATCATCGGAATTTTTGATAATTGTATCGGAATCAAAGTTGTGCGTTTTTATTCCGCTTTGGTAATGAGGAATATGTCAGCAGTGTGAGGAAATTCGAGGTGTTGGGTCTCGTTATGTGCAAGATTGTCCAGGAGTGCGTGAGGACGTGCCGAGTCAATGCAACTTGAGTAGATAAAGCCGTCGTAATCAGACGCCACCCGGAATTTAAAATATTTTCATTAATTTTCGCGTCGAGCAATCCCGAATTTCGATCCACTAACGAATAACTTTCGAGGACACCATTTTTTTTTGCCAAAGATCCGTTTACTTGAAAATATATATATTTCTGCAAAGGCTTAATTCTCCAATTGTCAAATTTCCAGGGAATTCCAATTAGGTTTTGCTAATTACATAGACTCCATTGATTATTATTCACTCTTTTTAAATACTGAATTTTATAAAGAAAGTGAAATAATGGAATTCTTTATGACTGATAATTATTGAGAATTTATTCAAGGTCATGTCCAGCATGATCATCATCTGGAGTAATATGATTTTTATGGAAACACATCTCCCAAGTGAATGAATCCTCGGCAAAAAATAATATTCTTTCTCTGTAAAGTCGATCTTACAAATCCGCGGCTATTTCAAACACTAGTCTGTACACACGTACGTACAAATCGTTAGAGAGTTAAGTCCCAGGTTGAGGTATATACTGTGTTACTGAGGCTTCCTGACTACACGGGGGCCGACTCCCAGTTTATTTATTGGTTCTCGTGTCTGTAACGGTTCGTACTTTACATATATACGTATACATCCCATTGTTTACTTTTGAATTCGTGCCCTGGTATGGTACACACCGTAATTTGCTCGAATTTTATTAAATATTTCAATTACCCTGGAAGTGCATTTGTAAAAATAAATTTCACATGATGCATTCCATTCCTATTCTTATTTAAATAATAATCTGAATGTTTTTTTTTATGAACAACCTATAGACTTGTAATCTCGGGAATTAATTAATTATTGAATTTCGAGAATTTAATGAGAAATGGTGGAGAATTTTCATCTAATTATTTTTCCCTGTCATTGAAATGACGGTGAAATTTGGTATAGAAATGATGGAACGACTGAGAATCGATCTTCCCAATATTTCAGTAGATAATGGAATCGCTACGTGCAGACATTATACCACCGAGTGGAGGCAAATCGATATAGTCCCCCCATTTCGATTCCCTCTCGTGATCCTCCACGCCCCATGTAGCTCTCCCAAGAACCCCTGGTGGTCTTGTATTCTAATTCCATTATACGTAAATCGATTAGTGCATCTGTTGCCAACATCGCAATCACGGTTTGCCCCCATGGGAATACATTAAACTCACCAGCGAGAGCATGAGAAAGTATTTGGTGGAATTTCGTCGTGGTCAGCAAAAAAATTCCACCAATGGAAAAATTCATTTTACAGCCTGACAAAAAAAAAAGAAGAGAGAAAAAAAAAACACCGACCACTCGCACTCATTTATTTGTAAACTTGCATTCGACAAACAAATGAATCTTTTTCAATTTCACTCGAGTGATTCTTCATTTCTCGACAGAAGAAACAAACAGGACATGATTGACCATTTGCAACATTTTTTTTTTGGGCTGGAGAAAAAGAAAAAAATTAATAAAGCAGGCGCTTCTTCCTGACCTGGTGACCCCCTCGAACTGCATAATGCACCACCCACCCGTCGGTACATCTCGTTATTTATAATTGCCCCCCTTTTCCGGTTGAATATCTAGAGCTGCCATTAAAAAATTCATATTTTTTTTTTCGCGTTATTTCCCCCAAGCCCCCCTCTCCCTCCCCTCGATTTCGCGGATAAATTTACATTATGATTGGATGGTGGATCGATGAACTCGTTGGCAGTGTCCTCCTGACCGAATGGTAATTAGGGCCATCATTGGAGGAATAAAAGACTGAGATGAATAAAGAAGGGGAATAAATGAAAGAGGGAGAATAAAATTGAGCGATGAGTGAGAGCACTGGGTCATGCGGTTGAGGTGTAATTCAATAACTGTACACATGTGTATTTAATGTGTGTTGATGCGAATCATCACTTTTTTTTTTTTAATTAAATCGTGATGATGGTTTTGAGCAATGAATTGACGCATTCGTAGGAATTTCAGATCTGTATTTGTTGGTGAAATTTCAATCGAGTTGAATAAAAAAATATTAAAATGTTGTCGTTTTTTGGGGGGAGATTTGAATTGTATATGGGACACTCTGGTAGGCGTGCAAATGGTAATTGCACACGTAACTGGACAATATGCGGCTTTTGATTATTACCTGGGCACCTTGTTCCCGGAGGCAAGAAAACACCAAAGAAACTTCGCAATAATGTTCTATTTATAGAACGCGTGGGTAACGAGTTTTGAAGCACCGCATTTTCTCGCCGCGAAAACCTCCGGTCTGTGGCTTTTCTATTTTTTTTTTTTATCCTCCCCCCTTCAATTACTCAAACTTACGGGAAAAGAGAAAAGTGCGGGAATCAAATTCACCAGTTTCATTTCATCATTTTGATATTAAATATTTCCAACCCGATCACTTTCCACTATCAAAAAAACACACGGCCTCATTTATTCCACCATAACCAGCAAATTGATAATTACCACAAGTCCAAGGAAGAAATAAAATTACCAGAAGCTGAGATAATAAAATAAATTCACTAATCCTGTTTATTAAATTTAAATCTCTTCCTCAATAAAACCTGATCACCGAATAAATTCATCAGCTCGATAAAAATTCACGCCCATGACGGTAAATTCGTCTCATAACCTTTGAAGTAGAGCAAATGGAGAAAATGCAGGCAATTATTTTTTCCATTCACTAACATAGTAATTGAAAATTTATAGAGAGAAAGAGAGAGATTATCGTCATTATTATCATTATCATCAAGAATCGCCGAACAAAATAAACTTATTCAATGAAAAATTAATCAGACATTTCATGTAATTCGATGTCACATAATGTTAATTGATATTGTTTAAAATGTCGGGATTTTATTTTTCATTTAAAGTGTAATTTTGCAACAGTGTAAAATGCCGACTGTAGGGACACCCCGGGGAGAACCCGTGAACGCCCTCGTTACCGTACAAGATAGCGGAGCATTTCCTCTAGGTGAACCTCCTGGTGAATACGCGTGGCCCATCTCTATTCCCGTCATATAGTGGCATCCCGCTTACCTATTACTACTCACATCGATTCACCACATAGTAGCAACAACTTCTCAACAATTTAACCGTGTTGCATAAGCCAGTGCACAACATAACCCTTCGACATGCCAGCGTTAGCGATTAAATAAATGAAATATCATGATAAAACGACAGCGATAAAGAGTCACTGTCCCACTGGGATATTTTAAATATAAAAGAGAAGTTAAATTGCCGAGAGAGAGACGATTTGAAATGTCCCAGAAGCGTGACGCTGGGTTTACCCTGGCCGATGTACGATAGGCCAACCTTTTCCTTTTCTTTATTTTTTTTTAATTCCCTTCTCGATAATAAACGAACTCCCTTTGTACAACTCCGGGGTAAAAACGTGAAATATCGCCGATTATATTTTCCATTTTATTCCCTATCTCTGCGTACCACTTTTTTTTTTTCTCTACTCATGTTTTTTTATCCCGCAAACGGGTTTATCGGGCTTTTATTATTTGATACAGTGAGCATGAAGAAAACGAGGTGGATTGACTGCAATTAGTTGGAAATCATGTCACATGATAAAATATATTTCCGATTAGGTGGGATAAGGAGATAAGCAATGTTGGTTTCTTGTTATTGAGGTGATAAGCGATGATGCTGACTTGGGGCATCATTTCGTGGGTGTTGAGGGCAACCATTCGCGGTTTTTTTTTTGTGAATTTTGCGGTTGTAAAATATATACGATCTCTCTCACCGTAATATATACAGAATATATTTAATATAGTGTCTTTCGTGTCTTCACAAATCCCCGAGTGGAATGTTAATAGTTATAATTCGCATATTTCTAATGGGATTTTAATAAATTTTCCATGGAAAACGGAAACGGAAATTTTCTCGACCTTTCAATGCCGTTGGTTATCGTGTGTTTACTCTTGCGTCATGAAGGAGAAAAAAAATTAAAAAACAAAAATGTTTTCTCATCGAACGGGGAGTTGAACGATAATATCGAGGGAACATTTATTTCACGTTGGAGAAGTAGCTCGTTGCAAACATCTCGGATTCACAATTGGTCATAAATATTTATTGATCGATCTGTATCGATCCAATTGGACTGTGGAGAATCCATCCGCTGTGTATTTACACACAGTACATCGAGTCTATGGGCACACGTTAGTACGAAAATTGTTGTGCAACGAGTACGTGAAAACGTATTGTGCAATTTCAAAGATTGTTACAAACTCTGATTTACGAATAATCAACTTTGGGAATACCGAGGAAAATTTTCACTACTTAATAGCGCAATTACTGGGTTTGGGTAATGAAGCAATAGCTGATTGGATCAGTCTATCAGTATTTGATTGGAGAGTAAATTTTTTTATTGATCCCAGGGGATGAAATCGATGGGATAATTTTCGATTATACAATTCCACTGATGGCTCAGTCATCAGGAGCGTAATGGAGGCGAAGGTAATTGCATTCTCGTAATTTGTTCCACGCGGAAAATCAACTTTATTGGCCTTGTCGCTTAATGTTCTTCTATTTTTCATTCGTAACATCTGCGCGTCGATGTTGGTTACGATATTTCAGGATAGAAAATGATTTTTACTCGGGAAAGTGGTTTTTAATGGGGGGGAGAAACAATTGTTCTTTTTTTTTCAGCTATTGGGGATCGTAAAAAAGGAGATATTTCTTTTAATATCGAGAAATTGACCACGTGCGGTGCTCTGAATGTGTATATACACGTCCAACCGTTAATCGGACAACGTCGATAGAGGGAGTCGCAGAACTGCTTATATACGCCGGAAGGTTTTAACATTGTCCGTTCCATTGGGAATCGATTCGCGTGGGCGAACAGCAAACGATGGCAAACATACTCGGTAACACGCCCACCCGGTGACGGAAGAGTTGAGAAAAAATCATGACAGGGTCCAGTCTGTCAGCCAAAAAAATTCACATTTTTATTCCATTTACCCCACATCCTCAATTTGACATATTGCCCCCTTCCCCTCTGCCTGAAAATTTTTCAATTCGCGACAATAATTCACATGGCAAATGATTTCTCCTCACCCCTTCCGCCAATCACCCACCCACACCGCCTCATTAACCACATAATGACATATTTGTGTGTAAAAATATAATAGTCAGTGTAACTCAATCCAAAAAATGCAATTGTTCAGTAAAAAATTGAGCTGACGTTAAATTTTCAAGTATTGAAATTCCCCAGTGTGAAACCTCACACTTTGGCCACTTAAATAATTCCCCAGAGACTCGGTAAAAACGAGATAAGTACTGGCAATGATTTCCATCACACCGAGCTCTGAAATTTTGCAAAAATAATTCACCGATAAAAGAAGAAGTTTAATTCACTTTGGTCCATGTAGCGAGTCCCCACCTATCCTTTTTAACCCACCCCTCCCACCACCATTTATCGCCGTGTTACACGCGATATTTAATTCGACTTGCGGGCCCCCAAGCTCGGGTGAGTAACGATCGGTCGCGGTGAATCGCTTCGAGGTACACGAGAAGAAAAGGAAGTGCGCGAGAGAAAAAAAAAAGAGTCCCAAAGAGAGAGAGAGAGGGAAAAAAAAATAAAGAGAGTTGAATTCGGGGCAGCCCTTGTGTGCACTCTTCGACCTTAATCGTTTTCCACGGGATGGAGGACATGAAGACGCGATTCGTTACGCCCACCCGTACTGCATTAAACATTGTCGCAATGAGCAATAGCAGGAATAATGAATTTCGGACGATTAAATGACGAAATTAATAGCCCCGTGGTTTGATCCGGAGTATTAATGATGGGTATCAATGGATTGTTACAGGAAAATGGCTGTTTGTATTCACATATACGGTGGGGCGAGGCTTTCGTCATCGTCTACAGTGTGACCTGCAAAAGGAGCTTTCAGGAGGCACGTGGACTTCTCAAACAACTGGCTGATCTACGTTTGCCATCTTACTTCACTGCCCTTCTCCTCGGGAATAAACGAGACCTCGATCATGCACGGTGAGTGATTCTGAGGAATGATGGATGACCAATTGACGGTCCCTTGACCAGTCCTCCGAAATCAAATCCAAATCCACATCCAAATCCAAGAGAAAAAAATCAGGGATGATTCGAATTATTAGAAATAAATGAAAAAAAAAAAATAGTGGGATTGAAGTAGTGTATACTGAGGTACATCGAATTTTTTCGGGTGTTTATTCAGACGAAAACTTTCCAGCATCCCCTTCCGCGTTGGCTTTATTCTCAGCTGGAAGCTGGTGCTGTTTGAATGAGCCAGAAATTGATGTTTTAAATACGAGCAGTAAACGCGGCTGGAGTGCATAACTCCCGTTGTAACGAACATAAATAAGATAAATCAAATCGCCAATCAAATAAATTTTGTTTGAAATCGATTGAATTCTTTTAGCATTGGATTAACACAATTTCCCAACGGTTGTACATTGACTCATTCATTTTTCTATTTTTGTCGTCTGTTGGAAGACAAATGGCCCCATTAAGCCATAATAAAATGGTAAAAATGTGAAATTTTTTCGTTTCATCTCATTGTAAAATTCAGCGGATCTGTATTTTTTTTTTCTTTTTTTTTCCCTTTCATCGATTATCGCTCTCCGTGAGACTGAATTCAATGGATTTCTCAATACACCTGACCTTTATTCCCAATTGACAGATTTGTTTTTAATTCTGTAAATAGTTGGGTTTGAATGAGTTAATGTGGCAGAGATTGACTCACTTTCCACCTTGCACCAGCGTGTAATAGGATCTGAGGGTCGCATTTCCTGGACGATTTCGAAAAGGCGGTCGTTCTCGTTGCACGCGACGTTACAATCTTTTATTTCTTTGCCTGTCCGGTATCTATCTATTTTTATTTTCATTGCCGGCATTCAGCCGTTGGACACCATCGTCGGGATAGTCCAACGCCTGGGGAATCACTCGAATGCTCTCCCGGAAAATCCGATCCCAGTGACACACCCCATGGTCCCCCTCCATCACGTCAAAAACACAATTTAACATTTTCCAATCCATTCATCGCGTGAAATATCAATATCAATATCAATATCAAGACGATCGATCCAATAAATCGATACCGACACAGAAATTCAAATACTCCATCAAAAAATGGATTATTCAATCGTGTCAGAAATTTTTGAGTCAAATTTTTCATTTCATTTTGCGGAATTGTAAAGATGAATAATGAATTGGAATTGTGTACATATCGATGTTTAAAAAATTTTCAAACTTCAACGAGAATGTAAAAAAAAAAATCGCTGAAAAATCGTTACACACCAGATGTAAAAAATCATTCTACAATTCTCCTCTCCCCCGCATTTCATTCAACTTCACACTCGCTGGCATAAAATACATAATACCCTCGTTAAAAAAAAGAGACTCACGAGAAAATCTGAACACGTATCTTCAGATTCGAGCAAGATGTTAACGTCTCCCCGAGTCGCACATTATAATTCGACATTCCTCTTTCGTTGAGCATTCGCCCATGTAGAAAGGTCCGGTGAAATAAAAATGCGAAAAATTCCGAGTGAATCAAGTGAGAATCAAAGTGCCCTGAAGAGGTACCACTGGAGCAGAAGTAGAAGAGAGAGGTGTATATCGAGATAAAAGAATAAAATAATAAAATAAAAGAAAAAATTGAGAAGACAAATCGAAGAGAAGGAGAAATACAAGAAGGAATGAGTGTTTTAACCAGTTTCCGGCGAGTCTCGTTTCCCGCCCATTTGCCCCGTTGACAATTTCAAGATCCCAGCGAACCGATAAGTTTATTAATATGCGATTTAACGCCGGATATATTATACATACAGCTCGTCGCCATTTTGCACTCAACATAGTTGCCCCGTCGGTTCATCTTCCCTGTTCCTTTTTTTTCTACATTTTCCTAATCTTTATGGACCTCCATTAAGGCGACGAGTGGCAACTACCGGTAATTTTTACCGTCGAAATAAAATTTACGGGATTGAGAAATAAATGAGACGAAAGAAACAAAAAAATGTAACGCATACGAGTGCTAATAAATGTTAAGGGATGTGGCCTGTCCAACCGTACAAACCAATGAACTCTTTCCACCGGTGTTTTCTTTATTTATTATTCACGTTAAAGCCACGACCTTGTCGTATACGAGATACCGAGGGACGTTTATCACCGTGTCATAAAGAGGGGAATGGCAATTAAATACTTTCATGAAATTTTTTTTCACCGCTCTAAATGCATAATTGGAATTTTCGGGGGACGATTCATGAGCAAAATGCACTATTGAAGAATTAAACTAAATTTTATAATAAAAAGTGCAATTTTCCAACATTTGTAATATGAAAAAGAAAAAAAATAATAATCTGTCGAATAAAATTAGAGAAAAAATCGAGCGGTCACCTGAATCCCCCCACCCCTCACCCGGAAAAATCTTGAATTAGTGCATTATAGAAGAGCGGAAGTACATCCGGATAAATGAGACACGATCGACCATGAACCCCCTTCTCCCAATATCACTTGCGCATTGTATCCTCGTATTGCCAACGTGGGTGATGATTCGTGATATAAAATAGGCCGACGGATTAACGGTAGTGAGACAGTACATTTTAAAAACAACTGGCATTCTGGTATACCGCGTATCCATCAGACTGAAAATTGTGTGTTAAAACACCCACGCCCGCCATCCACCCCGAAGTAACCGTCCGGAATTTCACGAATATTCCAGCTTGTATCCGTAAATTTAATTGCACTCATAAATATCGTTTTAACTTCACCGTGTGGGGTTCAATGGTACTCACGGATTCTCAACCCTCTTCATTTAACTTGAAATACTTGCATACTTATGTCGCTCGTTTATTGTTCAGTTACTGATGAGATTCAATAAAATAAACGACCGGATATTACTGAGCCAATTACCTCTAGTCATTCCACTATTCTTAAAACATAGTATAATTTCTATTCCTCGAATTATTAAAGGAGTCCCTTCGATTTTCATACCCAAAAGATGACAATCTGAATATAATTTTTTTTTTAAATTATATTACAGAGAGGTGTGCGTAGATGAGGGTCAACAGCTGTCATTGGCTCACGGCTGTCAATTTTACGAAGTGAGTGCAGCAGAGAGTCCAGCGGGTGCAGCCCTAGCCTTTCAAGCCCTTCTCCGAGAGGCGCGATCAGTTCAACTTCTACGTGCCCTACCAATAAGACGAAAACTCGGTGTTCACTCGGTATCGAGGGTCCTAGGTACAATATTTGGTAAAAATACGACGAAAGACAGGAAGAAGAGGCCATCATTGAGTATATGACGCCTCCTGTGCGCCCTCCTGCTGGGAGGACGTGACCAACCCGAAAAACGCACTGACGTTATTGTTCTGAGGAGCAATGTCTACGCTAATCGTTGATAAAGCCGTCAAGAATTATCACAGGGTTTTTTTTTTTGTCACGCCCCAGCCTCTCGTAATCAGAGGTCGCAGGCTCTACCCGTGGAGTATCGACTTCGCGGAGGAAATTGTCAAATCGAGACGGAGGTCGCACAAGAGTCAGTCGAAAGTCGAGATGAAGACTATTGGGACCTGAATTGCGATGAGATGATCGGTTTAAATGCAATGAGGTGTGCAATCGATGGTGAATCACTCGTGTTTCTTACAGCAGTGAAATCTTTTGTGAAATTAAAAATCTAATTGGATCAGCAGTCGAGTGCCAATTTAATCGGTCGAAATTCAACTGATCTTCGAAGCTAATTAAAACCACTGGACTATTGATATCAATTCCATTACTTGTTGTTTAGCCTAAAGAAATTATTAATGTCAATGATTTTGTGCCGATAATGTGATACCTCTTCAACATCCTCATACCTCAGAATAAAAATTCCACTCTCATTCCAATTAATCAGAAAAATCATATAGCATTTTTTTTTAAACTCGTTACAAACTGTCATGTAGCTTTTTACCCATTGGAATTAATGTTTTGAAACTCGCCCATCCACTGCCATTCATTTTACTTAATTTTTCCTGCCCAATGTAAAAACAAAAAAAAAATGTCCAACGTGTCCGGATGCCCGGAGAAAACGGTACGAGGAGCCATCGTGAATTCACTTTCCAAAATTTTATATACGCAACAGTGGGAGAAAAAAAAAACACGATGTATTCACGTTTCACTTAATGCTTGAATTAATTGTTACTCGATGACGTTATCTCGTGATAAAAACATCAGTGTACCGAGTGAATAAGATACACCCCTAAGTTCGATTAGTGGATGATTTTAATTAGCGGGGAGAAAATCCGAGATACCTCTTGACTGTTTTAATTTCTCATTGTAAATAGAATGGAATAATTTATCCGCTGATTCCTTTATCGAGAGATAAAAAGAGGGATAAAATCTGAGGAAGTTATTGAAGAATCGACGATTGCTGAACAATTTTTATCATGAATTATCGATAGATATCACTTGGATTTTCTCGAATGCATTGAGAGACTGCGGCGTGAGAGTTGATGTTTATATTTTAATGATAAAAAGATCCCGTGCTCTTTTTTTTTTACATCACCTTGATGAAGGTTGCTTTAGGATTAAGACTGTAAAACTTTCTGTACATAGTGTGATTACGGAGTGCCTCGATGAGGTCAATTATCGATGGATCGATGTTAAATACATTCCAAGGCAATTTGATGATTTTTGCAAATTGATGAATTGTATTTGAGTGCTAGTCACTTGGATTAAATTGATGAATAAATTTTTTTTTGTTAAATTTCAACAAAATCCATTCTTTTTAATAATTCAACCATTTATCCTCATTACTCTTAATCCTCATCCCTACCTCCCCCTCCCTCTAAAATTTTCTTTTAAATATTTTCCACAATGATTTTTATTTATAATCATGTCGCGTTCCACTATATATTGAATTCACGATATTAACCAAACGATTCAATTGTCATTTCGTGCGTGTGTTGATGAATTAATTGAGAAAGGACAAGATAAAGTATAATGAAGTATGAAAACATTTCTCTCTCGGTTAATAATCGTCGAGTGAGTACCGACCGGTTTTGGGGCACCGTTTGGCCCCTTTGGGGATTAATTTCGATGTGACCTTGACCTTGATATTCGGTTTTTTGGGTCTTGCAAGTTTTATTCACGATAAATAACTGATTATTAAGGAATTTTTTTGCTTCAACCACTTTTGGAATGATTGAAGTGATGCCATGAAATTCTCTGAAAAGAAAATCATTTTCCACTGGAGAAAATAAAGAAAAGTTAATAATTCATTCAACGCGCACTGTGTACCCCAAATTGAATAACTAATCAGAGCAGATGCAGGATGCAATATGCAAAATGAAATATTTCCAGTGAAATTGACAATAAAAAATTTCCCTTAATAAAATTAAAATAATTTTCCCCGCTTTCCAATGGGCTCACTTCACCTCAAAATATTCAGCCAAAGGTGAGGGAAAAAAATTTGAACGACACCACTTATCTCATTACAAATTTTCTCTCACCCGAGACATGAAAATTGCGGTCGTGAATAAAAATAGCCACGAGTTGAGATTTCAGCCGGACACATTGGTCTCGGCCATGTCATAAGACTAATTGACGGGTTGACTCTCAACGATTTACCGTACGTCGAACAAGTTCAAATGTCTGGGAATAATCCCAGGGGAGGTACATCCTCCCTATTCGTGCCAAGGTTTTGGTATCACCAGAGCGTATAGAGCACATCTTCAATCTCATATTCCAAAATAACACGCGCAAAATTCCCTCATCCGGTACCATAAACACAACACCCTGTCATGACTTGGCGATATTAACACCTTGTTAAAAATTATCTTTTCTGTATTTAAAAAGAATCGAGAGATTAAAATGGTTTATCAATTTTTATAGTGCCCTTGACTTCTTTTTTTTACCCAGTGTAAATAGACTAAAGTGTACTTCACAGTCTGGGAGTAACTGGGACACCAGATTCTATTCGGGAAAGCTCATACACACAAGCGAGCCCCTCATAAAAAAAAAAAAAACAATGAAACAAGAATTGGTCCCGTGTGAAATTACCCAGTGATATCAGTCTTAAAAATTTCTTAACACCCGAGAGCCAAAAATATTCATCCAATTCATCTGAATGAAATATTTAATTTATCTTGATTGTAAATTGAATATATTTTTAACCTTGAAAATTGAGTTAATGCCTTGAGCAAGTGAATTTGAATAGTCCCTCTCATTACCAATGAATTTTCCTGTTGACCATAGAAAAGGGACAAGTTGGCAATAAAACGGTATAGTGTATAATTCAAATTGAGAGAATGGTGTAAGGGCATCACATATGGTCATGAGTAAAATAAGAGAGTGGTGCCTTGAGTGGTGGCTCGGTGCAGTTGCATCCGAAGTCGTGACTCAAGCCAAGGTCGTAGGTCGTAGTTGCGCCTGCACCTTGCCACCTATCCACCTTCGGGTACCCGAACAGGGGGATGCCAAGGGGTTATAACCAGATATATATAGGAGGAACCAAGCGTGCAGTCTAGCCTCGGGCGAGAGTTTGAAATTTAATACATGCGCATAACTCCCCCACCCTCCCTCCCACTCAACCATTGGGTATATAATCCGTGCAAACTCTTCAGGTACAACTAAAAGGGATAGAACTTTAACTCGTGCTAACTTTTCACCGTATACCGGTGGGTACTGTCCTTTTGGGGCAATATCAACGCCCTCCGAGCTCTCCTGCACGCCATTTCTCAGAAATATGCTTTTTAATGTATTCCACTCGTTGCCTCCCCCCTCCCCCTTCTTTTTTTTTTATTCTTCGATAATCTAACATTTTGATCGTGGAACTAAATCGGTAGCCGAGTTGTTTACCATGAGATTAATGAGATAACCGAGTTAGTCACATTTCCAGGAAAATTTTCGAAATGAGGTGAAAGGGCGGGACGAAGAAAATCGCAATGGTCGATATATCGAATCGATAGACTTTGAAAATATCGATAATTCATTTTTTAGGTAGAGAGACCTGAATAAAATATTGGAGAATCCGATAGTCAGTGTAAATGTTACAATGGAAAATGTGAAATTTACCGTGAAAATAGCATTGACCTCTCGACATTCGATCGATACTCATCGACACCCCCGAGGGTTTTTGCATGAGTAAGATATAAGCATTAAACCGAGACGAATTATCATCGGCGTGCCGCGATAAAAAAATTATTTTTCCCAAGAAAGAATTTCCTTAAAAAAAAAAAAAGGATGTCACGTTTTTTGTGAGCCTTTGGCTCAACATTTCAGCTCATTTGATACGTAAGACTTTTCACGCGTAATCTTATTTCTCATTGGCCATTCCGAATAACTCTTTTCTCATTGGTCAATCATTGGGTATATCATCATCAACACAACGGAATCAAATGACGCGCCCGGAGCGCGTCTTCGATTCCGTAACAATCATAAGAGTAAGATAATCGCGCGTATATTAAAAAAAAAACGAATGAATGAATTTTCACAGGTAATGGAGGTTTGACGAGCCTCCGGTGGATATTTGAAATGGTGAAATGGCTTGGGGGCTGGGGGAGCCAGGGGCTGTGACTTGGCGACAGTGTCCAAACAGGATGGAAGGAATAGAGAATTTGCCGAGAGTTGGGTACATAAACTCTAAAACTGAGAATGGTAATAAATTAACGTGGCTTTATCGACGCAAAGGGAACGTTTATCTTCGGTATAAGATGAAGTAGAGTGGAGGTGGGGAGTAAGGATTGGAAGGAGATTGGTTGGTCTTAGCATTGGGTATAACACTCGTTTGAGAGTTTATTTTGGAAAAAAAGGGAAGAGAACGGCCAACAGTTGGTAATACGACACCTCAACCTGACTAGCAAGGAATGTACTATGTTGCCCGCGTACTCTTTAACATGAAAGGTGAGAAAAACGAATAATTAAAGTGAGAGAGGGGCGGGATATTGGAATATCTCGCGTGTCCACAACCACCTGGTAATCCTAAACCCAATTTTTAAACGATCCACCAATCGTCACCTCTATATTATATTTGGCCTCTTCAATCTTCAAGGACTACGCATGCTGTCGTCAGCAAAATTCAATTATTTATTATCTCCACCTCCCCGGAAAATGACGCTTTACCCGAATCGCATTCTACGTCAGAGCTTGTCGCATTCTCTCGCGATAAAGCAATTCTCACTGTTTATATCTCCCTGGCCCACATGCAATAATGCTAACGATGCACTAATACAATTGTCAATTATCTATTCGCGTTGATGAATTTTTTCATTTTTTCATCATTTTTTTTCAATTACTCTTCCACCTGGATTCCATAATTCTTTTACTTTATACTATAAATCAAATTGAATTTTTTTATCATTCAGTTATTTGAAGTAAAAATATATATATATGGTATATATATTTTTTTATTGGAAAAATAATTGAGATGGTGTATTATAAAAAAATTAATTTTTGAATTGATAAATGATAAACCCGTGGGGTTGCCAGCAATGATTGTACAGAGACCGAGTCTTGCCAATTTGAACATTGCAACGAGGTTGCAAATAACTCCTATTTGTATTCAAGATATGCCATCGATGTTTTGACGCTGAGTAACTCGATATATCGAGCACATGCGTCTCACAATGTTGCGACTACCTCGGAATCGATGACTGTTATTCACTGATTGCATTATCCAACTTCCGGTCTACAATTGATGAATTCGATACGAAGAGATTAAACTCGGTGAGAAGTGATATTCACCGCAGAAGAATGTCGCGAACCTGCGTAACGTGGGTGCTGACAGTCTTTATAAAAATAGAAATAGCTGAGACCAAATAAAAACAACACTCGACATTCCCCATCCGCACCGCAATCATTGGAAAAAAAATTTTTTTACATCCTCGTGGATTTTATCATCCTCTACGATAATATGTGAACATACGCGGAATAAACAATTGATTGCGAAAAAAAAAGAGGAATAAAAAAAAAATGTCTAAACGATAAAAAAATTTCCCGCAAATTGACGAGTTGAAAAAATTGGCAAAAATGATGGAACAATCAAATAAAATAAATGGAAAACGGCATTGAATCGACTCCCCCGTGTTATCTCACGTAGGCTCTTATCAAATGTGAATGAGACGTTGTGCGATAAATTACGGTGCGTCTCTTTAAAGCCCAGCTGTATAGTTATCTCGATGAGCGAGCCACTTTCGGATCGTGCAAAACACGCAAGCGATTCTCGATCTCTCGATTCCTAGTGATGCCGAGAGGGCTCTCGTAACCCATCCCCATCCCGATGTCATTGTCCTCATGAGTTTCACCCCAACCCGATAATATCCCCACCACCCCGAGTATAAAGTCCCTTAAAGGCCCTTTTAAAAATTCAAAAGGGGCAGTATTGCAGGGTATCTCATTGACTGTTTGAACGTCGGTACCGATGAGGTGCATGCCCAACACTCCGGAGGGTCTATTAACTCCAATAGTTGAGTGTACCGGCATTTTCGATACAATGTTAGATACCACTCATGTGATTTTACAGACCTCGACGTGATATTTTACCACTTGGAGTTCAACTCCCCCATGCCGTCTGCTTATTTTATTCCAACGGGATGGGGAAGTGGAAGATAAGGAAGCCATTTGTGAATCTGAATCATTAAAATCTCTATAAAATTCTCAATCATATGATTTTCAATTCAATTTAAATCAGAAGTTCTCCCGAAATTTTTCATTTACCGGTAAATATGTCGTTCATCCCCACCGCAAATCATTATCATTGAATTATCAATTTTTCTTGAAAAACCGTGTTTATTGTTTATTATTGCCGATTTTTATGGCATTCTAAATCATATGATTTTCAATTAAATTTCAATTAAAACTTTTTATTTCCCATTTATCTCCCCGAAAAATGACGAAAATTTACGAAAATTGACTTTGCATTAAATAAATCCTCAAGTCCCGCAAAAACGCAGTGTATGAAAAATGAGACGGTGACCCCGGGTCATACTCAAAGAAAAAAATCATTACTAATCAGTAAACACGGTCTCGTTATCAAACCCGCCAGTATACCCCCCCACACAAAAACAATCGCCCCATCTCCCCCATTAATATCACAGTAAACCATTACCCCGATGATACCACGAGTGAAAAAATCTCAAATATCATATTAAAAAATAGCATGAATAATAGTCAAAGCCGCGAGTGGAATGACTGTACACCGCATTATATTCCTGTTGTCGAGATAGACGAGAAGCGACCAGTTATATATGAACCTTTCTATCCATTACGTCGTTTGGTAAAGGAACGAATAAAATAGAGATGTATTGTCTTTACACGGGAAGTTGTAAGGCCAGAAGGTACACTGCCATTTATTACATCTCTCCGTGGTAACGACTATGGGCGTGCTAGGGTAGTGCGACTCACCAGCAAACTTATCCTTTATAACCCAAGTTTTAAACCTATGTAATGTCTATGTGTATGGAAAGAGAGAAGAAAAGAGAGAGAGAGAGAGAGAGAGGGTGGGGGGGAAAATACTGGCAATGGAGGATCAGCCAACAACTGAAATGCCGGGCGTGTGTCCAGGAAACATAAAATCAGGCGAGTCACTCTCTGGTACTCCAGTGGAGACGCTGGTGGTCCCAGGACTATCCACCGACAATTCATTTTCAGTTTCCTGGACTGTTACAATTTTTATCGACCTGTCATACAGCAGTTTAGAGTCCTTGTATCATTCCCCATGATGTCGATGATAACGACCATTTGAATTTATGCTGGTGAACGATCCCTCAATTATCAGGGGCATTGAACAATATTACTCATCCGCCTTTGTGACCGTGACACATTCCCATTGAAGACAAAGGGATTAGATCGGGGTCTCGAAGATAATTGTCATTACCACTGAATTAATTAGACGTCGTTAGTTTAAATCTCATTGAATCAACTGTTAAGATGATCGTCTGAGTCACGTGGAGTGACGATTGAGGGGAATCTTATTTTTGGGCCCATTGCGATTTCGAATTGTTAAGAAAAAATGTCAATTACGGGATGGCAATTGACATTTTTTAATTGAAAGAAGAAGAATTTCCAGAATTTCCAGAAGAATTCGAATTCTCTGAGTGATAATTTTTATCGTGGATCTTAAACGTTTTTTTTTTTAGTTTATAGCCTGAGATTATTGTTCGGTTATTTTTATAAACTTTTATCGGGAGTCCATTAGTCGATCACGGCATGAGCCGATCGTGAAATGGTACTTATCGACGCCCTCGAATGCCCATCGGCTCGATCATTCACCGTTTAGGACAGGGCTTTTAGAGATGGAGGGAATAAGGACAGAGCCCTCAAAGTACCGGTTAGATATTGGTAATCGATACAGAACATTTTAAATAGTGGGAGAGGATTTAAATCGAGTGTCAGAACCCCCTGCCCCTCAAAATTCAATTCACCATGACTTATCACCGATGTCCATTAGGCTTTCACGTTTGTCTGATATCCCAGGAGGGATGGATCTTACGGATTTTGACATGCCCCAGTGATTCCTTCTCAATTTTTAATCATCAATATTTTCTGAATTTCAACCGATAAAAATGGCCAATACCTAAGACAGTTGGACATGGATTATAGAAAGGAATGCGTTCAGCACGAGGGACTATTCAGCGACCTAGAAACACATTATCGCAATAAATGTTGCAGACCTACTGACACGCCCAACAGGTCTTATCGTTTTTTTTTTGCAGTTCAATCAGACCATTTTTTCGGTCATTTTATTATGTCCAACCCTTTTATCGAGGTTTCAACACCTCCGTGAATAAATTAAAAAATATTAATGTTTTATCTGATGTATGAGTAAGTGGTTTCACTAGCTGCATAATTTATTTGAGTTATTCCATTCATTCCACTATTGGAGCAGTAATAAACAAATATTTAAAAATACTAAACCACTGAGATCTAATTAATCTTGAATAGTGACCAATATTTTGGCAAATTCCGGTTTTTGTCAGATGAATGAACGATAAATTGAGCAGTCGGTGTGCAATAAAATATCCTCCCCTCCTCCTCCTCCTCCCCCCACCTCTCTGTACGTTCTAATCGTCACGTATGCGCAATGTATTTTGCTGGTTCAAGCCTGTGCGTGTGATAAATTTGTCAACGAGTCTAAATACGAATGGAACGTACACTGGAGTAAGTACTAAATCCTTTGAAGGCCCCCCCTCGAGTTGACTGATATGGATGAAAAACCATTGACAGGAGGGGGGCAAGTAATGGCGATGGGAGGGGAGGGTATGAAAGAAAAATGGGAAAATGCATTTTTAATTCTGATGAGCTCTTAGGCACGTGTAGGCGGATTCCTGGCGGTCCTTCTTCCGTTCTCACGATGACTTGCAACCCGGATGCATAAAATTTTTTTTCTCTTTCAATTTATTTTTCATTCTCTTTTTATTTCTACCACTCGACCCCTCCAGCGAGTTGAAACCCAGGACTTGATTATGTGCACCTTCATTAGCCGCCCCACGCGATCATACTCATTCATGAACATATCATCGAACGATGCGTCCTCATTGTTCCCTCAACTGTTTTGAATCGACATTTTTATTCTCATTCATTAATTATTCTATTAATCGGTGGGTGATTATAGATTTGAGGGGAATAAATGGATGAACCTTGTGGGGCACGTCATGAGTGGGTTAAACTGAATTATTTAAAATTCATGAAAATTTCAGGAGAGAGTTATCTGAATTTTCAAATTGCGTTGGTAATTCAAAGAAATTTTATTTTTCATGCAGAATTATTATTCTGGAAAATTATCGATTGCACCATTGACAATAATAATTTATATTGATTTAATTATGAGATTGAGGAAACAAAAACCGAATGTTGTCTCAGGGTCAAGTTAAATGGATGATTTCAACGAATCGATTTCACGTTTATAGACCGAGGATCTATAAATCGATGGAAAATCCACCGAGAATAGATCTGTTTGTTTTGATTGATTATTTAGTTTGGATGGGAGTCATACGCTCTGTACGTGACAATTCGCACAGGCTTTCCCCATTAGTGAAAATTTAAGATGGGAATTATTCGAATCAAAGTGGATGCAGATGTCAGCTATTTCTGTTTATGCAGGAGATATTTATTTATTTTTTTGCCACTCGATAAAATAATGGAGTGATTGCGGGTAGCTTTGATGAAATACTCGAGTGATCGCTATCAATTTAAAATGCATTTGTATCGATCATTATCGAATTGCCGGGATGCCGCGGAGATAATTGAAAACAAATTTGGATCGATGTCGATATTAAAAAAACGTGAATGCTAGTTCATTCGTAGAAAGTGGATCAATTTTTTTTTATTAAAAGAATTGGATAAGAAACCGTTAGAAAAAAAAATTCACCGGTTGTTTTGTAAATTCAACAAAGACAAAAACAAATAAATCACCGGTTTAATCCGTAGATATTTTATTCCCATCTCGCAGCCACTTCCCAATTTTATTTTAAGCCGTACCAACGCCACAAATAGAAACTCTGAACGGTATTATTGTCCTGATTAACGACCAAAATAGTGAAAACTCACGAGGATAAAAACAAAATAACTGAGAAAACCGGCAACTGAAATATTATTTTTAATATTCACGACGCCATTCCACACAAGTCGAAGAGAATATTATTGCCGGAAATTTGTCATATTCCATCTGGCACACGAGAATTCACGAGTTCATTAATTTTTCATTCTGCATTATTCATCGTTGAATAAATCGAGACTAACGATGTCAACAAATGATAAATTGTCGTAACATGTGTCACGGATCCTTGAAAAATGTATTTTTGTCAAAGTCAACGTGGAAAAATTTTTTGACGAATGGATAATAACATTCGCGAAGAGAATAGATCGAGAATGAGACGTACTCTCAATTACTCTCACAAAGAGATGTAAGAAGACACGAAAATATTATCCTCTACCTCTGACGTCTTGGCATAAACACAACATACCTCGTTATCATGTGCGTTCATTCTCAACTAGAATAAAAATCAACGAGTCATGCAATAATAGGGGCAACGTTTTCTCACAGTGTGACGTTTAAGTTGCCAGCTCACAATATAGCCGGTTGGAAAATGTCATGAGTGGGGTACATACTTCGTGAAGCAAAAAAACAAAAGTAGTTGAAAAGAAAAAAAAAAAGCTAGCCAAGAAGAAGAGATACTGAGACCGGCATTGACAGGCGTACGGTGTTTTGCTCCATTCTAATGTCGCAGCGAGCCACGTCTGCATTTTGCTTCAGAAAGTAAGTCGATCTTATCGTTGGAAGTCCAACCGGGCATCTCCAACCTCCATACCAATGCCCTCTTTGTCAAGATAAATAATTTTCCCAATATAAAATTTGAAAAAAAAAAGAAAACAAAAAAAAAAGAACCACCGAAATCGAACTATATCCAACAGTCTTCGCTGCACTGAGAGCAAAATGTAAATAAAAGTCACTGAATCCCCAGTAAAAAATATTGTTCAACCCCTCGAGACACACCAGTCACCAATAGATCCAAAATTATTTTTCCCCGGTTGTGAAAAAAAGTGCTAATAAATTTTTCCACTTTTACCGAAACAAAATTTGTTTTTTCATTGGGTTAATAACTCTCTCCCCTGGCCTTCGTTTCTTTTTCCCTCTCATCCAAAAAATATAACCCACACAGTCTCAACGCGGTGAGCAATCTCTCCATGCTTGCGGCTTCACGGTTTCTTTTTTTTGTCTGCTCTTTATATCGCAGGCCAAATTCCGATATATACGCGACCTGTTATTTTTAAAAGTTAAAGAGAGAGAGAGAGGGTGAGAGAGGAGTATGAGTACGGCGCCCCCGTGCACACGCTGGGATCTCGGATTCATTTCAAATGGGCAAAGAGACCGTAAGAAAAAAAGAAAAATAAGGAGTGAGATGGAGCCACCAAGGGCTTTGGCCCTGGGGCTACCTTAAAGTAATCGCTTTTTATCGCGTGCCTGGGTGGGACCAGTTTGGCATTAGCCCAGTAGATCACCCACTCCATGTGGGTTAATACCCTCACCCAAGACTTCCAGGTTCCACCCGAATATTCGTTAAATCCTTCCCCGTGTATTCAATTAATTCCACCGATCAATAAATCGAATCAATCCCTTGAATATAATTCGTTCGCTCATAAAAAAAATTTTTTGTCTTTGTAATCGTTATCTGATAAAGATTCGAATGGAAAAATTCAAATTCACATGTCTCGTTATTTTTTATACTAATGATACTAATGAAACAATCCGATAACTAGAAAAGGGCATTCCCCTGAAAGTACCCACCAGAACATCCGTACAATTTTACCCGATAAGATCGTCGGACTCAATAGATATCTCGTAACGGTAAAGTCCCGCGACGTTTAAAAGTATCTATTTCAACAGCTAAACCCATTCGTGTCCATATTTTCATCATTTCGACAAGTAAAAATTGAAAAAATAACATGTTTACGACTGCCGTATAATAGCACCCATAACGCTCATAGTCAGATGATTATCAAATAGTCCGAGAATTTTAATTTCAAGTAAAATTGATATTTCCGCGGTTATCTCTAATTGAGACACAACGTTTACAAGAGTATGTGTATCGCATTACGAGAATTTATGTGCACTTTCGTTCACATTCCATGGAGATAGCTGAAGAACGCCGAAGTTGTACAGATAGGAGGTTGAGTCAAAACTTGATTATTAAAATTTACACAAACGATAGGGAGTTTATAATTTATCCAGCCCAAGATTTATCACTAATCACCAAGCCAACGACAATAATTCACATTGAACTGCGTAATTTTTTCCAATTGATTCTATCAAAAAATAATTATCCATCCTCCCGATCACAATCTCCGAATATCATACGCATTTATTCGCAAATGTGAAATTTTTATTAGCAATGAAACCGAAGACCTTTGGAGATAGTGAGGATTATTCACCCCTGTATCTGTTAAGAGAACATTGCCAGACGATTCGCTGGAGTTCAGTATACCCCAGCAAATGCGACAGGATAGTTTTCAATGAATAATTAATGAGACAATTCGATGGTATCGTTCACCAAGAGGCCATTTGACTGATGGAAATAATAACACCGATACAAACAACATGAAAAATAACAAAAGTCCTAGGTTTTTTCAATAAAAAAAATTTTTTGCCAATTCAACCAAGATAAATATAGCAAATACCTTATCGGGGAGTGTAAAGGGCATTTTAAACCTCTCGGATCATTCTAGAAAGGGCCGGTATTCGACCCACGCGCCATGGAGTTGCCCTCAAGCCTCGCGCCTCTATCCAACCACGTGATTTATGAATGTCTCGATTTATATTTAAACTAGTGTACAGGATCATCAGAGGCTGTCGCTAAAATTCTCGAATGGGCGAGTAACTAAATCTGCGACCCGAATTTTCAACATATTTTTCGATATAGTAGAATGATTTCATTTCCTTCCCCTTGATTTTAATTGAGAGAAGACCAATGGCGCCTCGATAATTAGGTGAATGATTTTGGCAAAATCACCGATCGAGATTAGAGAAATTCAGAAAATGATAAATACGATAAATCGTTGAATTTAAAAGAAGTTGTCGAGGTTAAAAATGAACAGGTACAGTGGCGCCACTGAAATATGTATTGCGCAGGCGTAATAGATCCTCGAACAGCTGTATCATAAGACAGTCCATTATACCGATCCCGAAGGCGTGTATCGTACTCTTTTCCCTCGATCACATGGCCGTCACGCCCGCCTCGTTTCTCCGTCTCATCCTCAAAAAAAAAAAAAAAAAAAAGACCACCCGACACACTTCCCCCAATTCTACCATTGTTCTAACCGATGAACGCTGCCTCAATTTTATTTCATCCGAAAAACCCAAGAGTAGTGGGTCACACGCCCGATAATTCACCGATTAACCGATAATTCACAGAGAGAGGCTTCCTATAACACCAATTATTCCCAGCCCTCGAACGCCTTCATTGTCTCCCTGACTTTTTTTTTAAATTCACCGGTGCAACAACAAAAGTGATCGACTGAGAGCAAAAAGGATGATAAAATGAGACTGAGAGGATGACTCACGCTCGAGGCGCGATTCCATCGAAGATACCACGTGGGTAAAAATTACAATAGAGTAAAAAAAAATAGGCTCTTGAGTGAGGAAAAAAAATTAAATTATGAGGGATTTTAGAAAAAGATGTACTTGGCCATTTTAGCCCCGGTTTATTACCCGTAATCTACATTTCGCCGGCTCTAATCCCCGGGAATGTCGGCCGCGTGCGCCACTCCGAGTAATCTACATATATTATGCGTTGTAGATAAGGATCGAATGGTTGGGCGCATCAGAATTATCCCCCACGTGTGCGTCTCGCCGATCGTGTTGTACCCCGACCAAGAGGATTCACCAGACACCACCGGAAGTCGATCGAGTTGGTTCGAGGTGACGGAATCTGGTGTGAACCAATTACCCTGACCATTATTTTTATTATTTATCTAATTAGGTTTCTTTCCGAGAATAATTGATATTGTGATCGAACTGATCATTCAATTGGCGATAAAATAGATTATCACCGTGAGCTTATCGACCCTCCAAAAATTATAATGTTGTTCAACGAAATCTCAAGTCTAGTTTTTTTTATCATTTGTGCAATGAGGGGGGACGCGGTGTATATAACAACCGAAACGAAATCAATTCGACAGGTTTGTCATTTATCGAGAGATGAAGTACTTTGCGGTTATCATCGCCATTCTGGCACTTTTACCACAGGTGAGTTTCAACTCAAGTCGACGGACTTTAATTATCTCGTGAATATCGAATATTCAATTCTAAGTGGAATGATTTCAGGATGAAGCAACTTCGATTGACGACTTTAATACCACCGTATCGGCACTCAGCGAAATTAAATTGTCCCTAGAATTGTACAAGAAAAATATACCAGAAGAGGAGAGTCTCAGACTCGCAGCTGTGATGAATGCAGCTCAACAGACTGGCATTGATGTTCTAATTGCAGCAATTGATGTGAGCTTTACTTGACTAATAAAAATCCTGGGCAATCCCTAATGCAATCCTGAAATTATTACAGAATTGGGAAGACAAACAGTGCAAGGAGATCTTGCTGAAGAAGGCTAAAGTCATTATGAAAATGATAAATGAAGTCTTGACGAAATGTTTCGAGGAGAACGAGCCACGTTGGGTGACCTACGCCTATCAAATTAATCAATTGATTACTGTGAGTATTCCAGAGTTTCCTCTGGCCTCCGGAGGTTCGGATGTTAATTTTTTAATGAATTCCTTTGGTCACAGGTTGGCAAAGATGTGGAGGCCAAGGCAGATTTTTTGAAAGACTATTGCTCCAATTCTACTGATGGCTTGGAGACATGCTTGAACGAAAATGTACTGTTCCTTATGCGAATGGTTGCTGCTTACCAGAAACTGGCTGGTGAAGTGAGGATTAAGGTACAAGCAGATGTCGGCATGGGGTTCATGCTGACTGGTGCATGCCTCCAAAGAGTAACGGAAGATATTTTCACCGAGATCAGAAATAGAATAGATGATAACGAGGTAGTGGAGTGTTTAACTGCCACGGGTGCACCTCAACTCATCGAATCAGCTTCGCTAATGAAGAGAAGCTCATTCTTTTAACCCAGCCTCAAAGCAAATAAAAATCCAAATACCATTTCATCAGATGTATCTCGAGAAAAGTGTTAATAAAATTAATCTATTGATAAACTGTAGCGAACATCGTGTTTTATTTTTATTCCCAACCTTTACGATCTGTTAGAATGATAAAACATATTCTTTATCATAATAGAAGAATCCGGGATTTTCCACCGACTGGCACTTCAGTTGCGATTATCAAAAACGATTATGTAATACTCAACTGCAAAATTTGATATCTTCGAGTTTTAATCTCGAGGTCATCGGTTATTTTAAAAAGTGATAAAATTCATTATGCAATCAGATTCAGGTATATAACAGTCGGTAAAAAAAATGAAATTAATTGTTTCGCGAAAAATGAAGTACTCCGTGGGAATCATTATTTTGGCAGTTTTCATTTCTCAAGTAAGTTGTTTTATTATGCCTCAAATATAAAAACCGAGAAATGATTGTACGAATTTTGTGATAACGGATAATTTCAGAATGAAGCAACACCCGCGAGGGATGTCCGCGAATTGTACTTGAAATCTCGTGACATCAGATCGTCACTGGAGTTGTACAAAGTGCGAATGATACCCGAGGAGAACGGAAAATTCGCAGCAGTTGAACAGTACCAGAATGAAATGGCTGAGCTGTACGTGGATAATACATTTGCATCGATCGAAGTGAGTTAATACGAGACATTAAAATTCGACGTATCGATTTACAATTTTTTCCGCAGACGGAGGATCATGAAGATTGTATGAGTGCCTTGAAAATCGAGCTGGACAGCATCTTAATGAGCTACCGTAACACAACAGAGGATTGCATCAGGAAAAGTACTCCACACTGGGGAATGATCATAGCCGAAATGAATGATCTGATAACTGTGAGTATGAGGTGATTAAATTATTGCTGTTAACGTTCTCATGAAAATCGGGCTGTTGCAGAAGGGACTAAAATTCGAGGCTAAGGTTGATGGAATTGAATCGACCTGTGCTGATCACAATGCCGGAATCTTTGAGCAGTGCCTTGATAAATATGTACCTGAGCTGAAAGATTTCGTGGTATATTATCAGGACCGAGAGGCAAGACTAAAGACTGAGGTTCAGGTATTCACTGGCCTCGGGTTCGCCGAATTTGGAGTGTGCAACAAATCATCGACGGAAGAATTCCGGAAGAGACTCATCACAGCAGATGAAGACGCACGTGAATGCATCAAAGTCGAATAATGTCGTGTAATTTTCCATTTGAAAATATTAATTGAAACTTGTGGATTTATTAATGAATTTCCTATGAAATTCACTCATGAAACCCGTTGAAGTCCTCAATTAATCGATGACTTCTGGTGAGTTATGGGTCCCCCATAATTTACAGCAATAAATTATCAATTTCACTTGCTGCCATGCGTACGACTACCACTAGCTTCCGGTGTATATCAATAGACAACGGTGCAACACAACCGATGATCCACGTGCAAATAATTCAATTAATCCACGCCTGGTATTTACTCTCGCGTTATCCACCCATAAACCACTGGTACCCACTTTCTAAACTTTACACGCCGATGACATATGCTAATGACTTGATTATTTATGTCCACCGATATCGTTCAAAACGCGAATTACAACGCGATTCCCCCTGACCTCGGAAGTAGAAACTCAACAAATTGAATTTTTACGCCAACCTATTTAATTGACCGACCGGGGAAATTTATCTGGTTTTAAATAGTCCAGGAATTTTAATCAATTTGAATAACATTAATTAATCATCGAGCGACTGTTTAATCACTGAGAGTCACTCAAGAAAATTGATACGACAATTTTCTCTGAAAGCCAGAGAACCGATAAAATTGTTGTTGAAAAATCATGTAATTGTTGAGGAATCCCGATTGCCAATAGGTTCACAAACAACACTCACACATAATAATTGGAATGAGGGGGGCGTCGACCCCAGTGTGGAGTCTGCCTCCAGGAGAGGAGGTACAAGAAAAGATGTTGCGCCAGAAAAAGGCAATGAAATATTCAATTCCCACCAAAAGCTCGGTGTGTACCCAAGGCTCGAATGGGGATGCCGACACAACAGGGCAGGTTAGCGACCTTGTTACAGTCGAGTGCGAGGAGGCGATTGTTGTTTGGGTGGTCGAGAATAGTAAGGTGGAAAAGAGACAGTGTGAATAACCCGGCTCGAGACAACTCTGACTATTATTAGTCGTAACCAGATTATCGTAACCATTCTTTTGACGCTTCGCTACTCAGAGACACACACTTTGGCAAATGGTTGGGTACATTACGGGGAGTCTGGTATGCGGCCCCACGCAGTCAGACATTTAAATTCCTACGAATTCCTCAATGAAAGAGGCCTCCAGCATTATGCTATTACCACTATTCAAAATTTTCCCAAATTTTCCTCAACTGAATTTTTTTATTTTTCCCCTCATTTCAAAAATGAAAGAAAAATTCTTTTTTTTTTGTAATAAATTATAATTGACCCAATTAAATTAATTTCGTCGTTTGGAAATTTTTCAAAGTCATCGAGACTATAATGGAGACTGGGATGCAGATGGAATGGTGCATGTGAGAGAGACAACAGGTGTTGGATAAAATTGATCGTACAAAATAAAGACACGTGTCACTGCTGTTAGCGATATCATACACTGGTGTGATAACATTGGATGGCAGTGAGGTGAGAGGGGAAAAGAGGCAGGAGAGCGTGAAATTGAATTACGATACGGTGGTACGTCTGTTACATTAATGCATCCCATTGGGGATGCTTGTAATGTTTCATTTCACACCAATGCCGATTCATACCTCGGTAGAATCAAAAATATTCAATAGTCGGTGGGAGTTCGAGGGTTCATTGGATATATATCAGAGGATGAAAGTTTAACGGTAAAATTGTGAATTCGATGATGCTACAGAGAGAAGTGCAGTTAATTGTTGGAGAGTTCTTGATATCGATCACTCTGATGCATTTGGTGACTCATCTCTTTCATTTGAATTGCCGATATTATTTTTTTTTTTCACTCAACTCATCTCTCTCTCACCCGCGGATTAATGCTCGCTGTTATTTATTACAGTCGAATTAATTTTGCTTCACGGTGAATAAATTATTTTTCCCATGAATTATTGATGATGAGAATAAAAAGTTAATTAAAATTGATGGATAAAAACATTGACGGTACGTTTTAATTATTCAATAGGCAGATGAGTTGCCATAATGTTGCAAAATGAATGATAATCAGAATAAAGGGAAATAGTAATTGAATGATAAAGTGAAAAATAAAAGAAGTCATGTGGCTTATGGGTTGGTCGCGTGCCTCAACTAAAGAGGGAAATTTATGGGGCATATAACGAAGACTCGAATAGGAGGCACGCGGTTTTACATGGGCGTCGACGTCCCCTCGTCGCGTCCTCGTCGCGTCCTAGTCGCGTCTTAGTCCCGTCTTAGTCGCGTCCTCATCGTCTCCACGCGCGAGACTCTTTCCCCCCCATCACCCCCTCCCCTCACTCCACCTCTCCACCAAAGACACCCACATACTGAGCTATAATCCCCACGTAAGAACGGGAAAATAAAAAAAAAGGCGATAAAAATGGATGAGAAAAAAAAATGGTGAAAAAATATTACAGGCTTAATACTCAAATTTACGACGACGTGAACTTGTTGTGAGTCTAAGCGAGTTTTCGCGTCGATGCTCTTAAGATTCAATAATGCAGTCCCGAGGGAATAAACATTATCGATTATTACGTGAATTGCATGCAAATTATAGAATTTGATGTAACAGCATTCTCCCTTTGAAAGTAAAATTTCAATTGTCACGACAAATTATTCCCAGTGAATTTCCAATACCATTTGTATTTAACATCGTGAATAACGCGAAAGAGGAAATGAATTCATTGCAAGTATAAAATTCCAGACGAGTTGACATGAGGATTGACATATAGCCCATGTCAACACACCTCGAATTTTCTTTATCTCACGGCCTTCTCATTCCTACCGATGATGAGAATAAAGAATCAATACCCTGGATTTTTTTTTAATTTTTCATCAATCCCAATGGCACTCGAGGACTTTACGATTATTCACTCTCAATGGAAATGCAAACGAAGAAAATAGAAATTCCCATGGACTTGAGTTAACGTTCGACGCTGGGAATTAATTTAATAAATTCAACAAACGAAAGAATTCAACGTCCCTTATCTCCCTGTATTATCGTACAACCGGCAACACACATAACGAGCGATTCTTCCCATTATGCGCCTTTTCCATTTGATCGAGTATCCTAAGAAGAATAATAATTATTATGGTAGTCTTGCCGGTAGCCCAAGAAACCAATGGTGTGTTCCCTTCCTTTGCCGGTATTCTCCACTATCAAATACCGTATCTCTGTCGTTTTTACCCCTCGCGTAATACCTCTATACACGAACCGATCGACGCTCAAAGAGATTGCTATCGGTGCTGTGATAAGTGTTGCACATTCGTTACATCCCCCCATCCTTGTCCAACATACTTATCATTTTCATTCTATCATTTTTATTCACTCAATATTCCCACTGCAGCCACCAAAAAAAAAAAACCTCAATTCCATCCCAATTTCCATTGCCAATACCAATTATTCGACCTATCACTCCATTTACGCCACCGGAAGTCGAAGAATTTAAATTTAAATTTAATTTAATTTAATTTGAGAGGAATTACTCAAGAAAAATTCCAATTTCCAATTGTTTTGGAGGAAAAAAATTGAATTGAAATACGAAATTGTTCAGATAAATTTTCCTAGCCTGAGTGAATTCGGTGGAGCTGTCACTTATTGTGGTACTCGTTGAAAAATGATAAATACAAATGTTTCCTGTATGAACCACGTAAATTCATAGGTTTGAAGTTGGTCTTTCTGGCGCCAGACAAACCCGAGAAATCGCCTAGCTATTCACAAATGCGACTTTACCGGATAATGACAGCTCTCGCAGCACCAGCTCACAAGCTCTAGATGCATATAATCGTTTCATGTTTTTCTACTGTGCACTTGTAGGTGCACCTCACTGACTATATTCAAACTCGAATAAACCCATAAATTATAACCAGCGAGAAAATCATGGCGCAGTAACCATCCACCGAAAGCCAAGATCCACTCCGATCCCAGTGTAAATAATTCAAATGACATCATTTCGATGGTGAGAAAGAGGAGAAAAATAAAAACTTCAAAATCATAGGTCAGAGACTGAAGATCCATTCCCCTCCGGTGCGTGCAAATATTTTTCACGGAAATACTACGCCCAAGGTGAAATAGTTATACAAATATTTCAACATTATTTAATATACCGCTAGTCATTTTGTCCACAAGCCAAATATCTACAGCATTGAGGTCATGCTCAATCTCGGTATAGGATCATGTTGCAAGGTTACCCGGTGGCTAACACGGGTCATCCACATGTTCCCAACTGCAAAAACGCCATTTTATAAAATCCAGCTAATCAAACATTTGTCGTCCCTGAGTCAAGTGACATGTTCGCAAAGCCCAATGACCCTCCACCTATTAGTGCCATTATCCCCACTAAAAAATTATTTATTCAACGAGAATTATTTAAACAATGAAAAAAATTTACTGAAGAAATATTCGTCAATACCAACGACCAGATTCTTCGCTCACCATTGATAATGAATTATTAATTATTACGAATGATATTAAATTGTCGAATTGAAAGAACGGTATTAATGAATTTGATGATTTCCAGAGAATTTCTAACCTTTCCATTTGAAAATAATGGCGATTGCAAAATAATAACCGGTGAAAAATGTCTCCACGTCTGTCAGGGTGAAAGTCCTCACCAAGGAATCCCTCCCTCCTTCACTAAAATAATCCACCACAAACGCGATATTTTGTCCCATCGATGGTCTCTCCCATGCGATCACATGGATAATACAAATAGTCACGTGGAAAAACACGTAGAACTCCAACTCTTGCATAACTATTCTCCCTCCATCCCCCCCTCAATATTTTTCGTGTTTTCATGTCGTACCTATTACGAGCCAAAGTATCTTACTCTATACCCTTTTGTTTTATTGTCTGTCGAATGAGATAAACAGCGTGGTAAAATGGGATGGTAAAACGTTATTACATAAATGGCTCAGCGAGCTACACGTATCGGACACGTTCTCAAATATAATCAATTAATTGTTACATGGATGCAAGAATACAGGAGAAAGTTATTTAAATAAATTCCAATTCAATTGACTATCACGATTTGATTTACCACCCACCGGAATAATCACTCACTCAAAATAAAACGATAAGCAAAAACAAATGAAAAATTATTAATTTATCCCAGAAAAATTCCCTCAATTGAAATAATTGCAAATAAGAAACTCCAA